TAGGGTGTTTATAATTTAATCACTGGATAACAAAATTAAATTGAACCATAATTTTGCAAAATAACTGGAAATAATTTATATTGATGTAATCTGTAGTTAAAGAAATTTTGTTTTTTCTAATTTTGTGAATGTTAACAGGCAAAATGGCATCATGCAGTAAAAAAGCCAAGTGCTTTCTGTGGTTATGGGAAATGAAATCTCAAAAAACAATCCCAGAGGTGAAGTGGACCTGAATTTGAAGCTTCCTTAACGGAACAATAAATTATAAAGTACCGTAATTTCGCACGTATAGTCCGCACCATCGTATAGTCTGCACGCAAGATTTTATATAAAAAAAATTTCAAAAATCGTCAGATAGTCCGCACCACCGGATAGTCCGCGGGCTATACGTCCGAAATTACGTTTTTTTAATACGGCAATATCCCCATGCTTTTTAAACACATCCTTTGCGCCAATTTCTCACCGCTTTCTCGTCCACTTCAAAATAACGGGGTAAAATCCTAGTATACGGTGCAGCCTTGGCACGACTTTGAAAATTATCGCCAACACCAAAAATTATCCAAAGAACGTCTATATATATACTATGCACTATATACTATGTGTGTATATACATAGTATATATACTATATATGTAGTATGTACTATGTTAAACTATATATTTTTTTTAAATGACCCGTTAACTACTCATCGTATATGTCCCGTTTTTACTGCTCATCATAAAGTCGCCAAAAGTAGCCAAATCCTGTGTGCACCGAATACTAGGATTAAACCAATAACGGCCCGCTACTCTATTTCCATCTTTTTCCTGGCGATGTTTCATCAACGTTATCGAAGATGAAATACAAAATACTGTGCAACGTGCTATACTCGTCATAAGTGGTAATGAAATGTGACCTTCGACCCCACTCACTCGGTGTTGCCAAACCACCGAGTAAACGAATCACGCTTTTTTTTTTTTGTACTCCAGGTGCTTGCTACTATGGCTCCTAAAAACCGAGCTGACGCATCACTTACTTTTCCCCCTCCCGGCAGTTGCGCTAAAGCAGTGCGAAGGACACTGGGATACAAGACTCTGGTTGCGCTAAGTGAGTGTTCATACAAGACTTTCTTTGCTCATATCCCGGCATCGCTTGATGTGCCAGCCTGGATTTTAGGAGCTCTACTTGCTACTACTCATTCATTCTGCACTATGCTCTATGGTTTACTATCGATACGATACATACGAATGTTTTCTTGGAATCTCGTGCTTTTTTTATATTTGATCATCGGCAGTTCACGACAGCGTGTTTTTTAAATTTCAAGGATTTTAACCGTGAACAACCAGCGTATTATCCGCAGCTTCAAAAAATTCGCATTTTAAACACAGATAGTCCGCGGACTATACGCGCGAAATTACGGTAGTTAAAACAGTTCCGAAAGACCAATCATGTTTTGCACAAAGGAGGTGCAGGTAGGCCAAGTGTCAGAGATGAAAATTTTTATGCCATTCAAGGACGTGTTTGTGCGCTATCCCAGTAAATCCGTTTGCCGTGCCAGCCTCCAAACGAGAATTCCCAGGTCAACTGCTCATAATATTTTTCGTGAGTGGTTGAACCTAACCGTGTAAGAAATGTTCTGTAGACAGTCTTGAACACATCATTAATATGATCAATTTCTTCAGAAAATTGTGCCGCTGTCAGAAGGATACACATGTGCATGATTTCCTTAATGAAACATTCCCAGATCATTGGATTGGTAGATGGGAACAAATTTCATGGCCACCTAGTTCTCTAGATGTCACATCATTCAACTTCTTTTTCTGAAGATCCTTTAAGAACCAAGTTTAAGCTGCAGAGATTCACACAATTGAAAAATTAAAAAGTTGAATCACCACAGAAATAGCTGCTGTAACTCCGCAGATGCTTAATATCTGGAGGAAACCTGCCATATTTTTAGAGCAGCAGAAAAATAAAACATTGCTGTGCAGTGTTATTTTATTATAATTATTGATATTTTATTGCACTTTCATTGATAGTTGATAATTCATTAAAAGTTTTTATCTTTGTACTTTATTCAGGACAAATGGTTTTCCTTTAATATTTTGTTTATTACTGCATTAAAAGTGAAATTTGGAAAGTGTAATGTTGTGTATCCACAGGCTAACAAATGAGAGAGAAAAATGAAAAGCATGATGCAATAGATATCCAGCTAAAATCAATAATCTGGTGTTTATGCTGAATATTCGATAGAGGCCAGATTTTATTATTATATTGCAAAATACTTAGCAAATTAAATATGTGGGAAAATGAATGATACATAAAGTTTTAGGTAATAAGTTCAATGTACCATAACTTAAGAATTTCAACATCATTTTAGCAATTTATTATTATCATTCAAATGTTTAAATGAAAAATATGTAATCAACAGCATATTTCCATTGAATTTTAAACCTTTGACCACTTTGTATGTGGTAAAATTTCCATACTGCCCACCAATTCCACAGTAGCTTAATTTAGCACAACTGCCTAGAATTTTTTGAGTGGCAGGTTTAGTAAAACATAAAATTTACCCATTTATTTATACTTAATGCTTATACAGTCAAAAGTCGTGAATTCGGACACCCATAATCCGGAATGATCTATAATCCGGACCTCAAAGCTAAAAACTTTCTGCGCATGCGCAGCGTTCACACATGCGCATAGGCGTTTACGCGTGCACGTTTAATGTACAACGGACGGTATAAGCTAAAATTATCTAATTATCTATTTCAGTTAATGTTGATGATTGCGTTGTTCCTTAATCTTCGAACTGGATCCGGCTTATTACTTTTTTTCAGACGGTAATTGCAATTTTACAAAAGTAAGCTTGAACTTTCGATTATGTTAAAAAGAATTTCCGATTCTGGAGCTGCCAAAGCAAAAGTATGTTTCGATTTCCATCAAACACAAAATGGAATTGCTGCAAAAAATGGATAAAGACATGAAGAAGGTGACAGAGAGGTTAGTGAAAACGAAAAAATTTCGATTGATAAGTTAGTCGGTATTCTCGACACAGCAATTACGGGACTTGAACAGCGGAACTTTGTAACTGAACAAGAAATTATGTCTGTTTATAGAATTAAAGAGAAAGTATTATCACATAAAACGAAGCAACTTAAACAACTTACATTGAAAGAAATGTTTAATAAAGTAAACAAATAAATATTAAGCATCTATAATCCAGAACCGCCGAAGTCCCGACAAGTCTGGATTAACGATTTTCGACTGTATTTAATAGACATTCCATTGCATCAGAGAGGAGGCTCAGACCCAAGCAGCATTAGCTGCCCATACACAAGTTATGTCATTCTCCAGGTCCAAAAATCCAAATGTCGACCTTTTTCATAATCAAACATTTAACTTTTTCATAATCAAACATTTAACAAATGTTTGATTATGAAAACGTTAGGCTAAGTTCAGGCTTGACAGCTCCATTATGAGTCCCTGCCATGCCTGAACGGACCACTGTATAAAGGATGGTTCTAGTCCTATGAAAGCTATGTGTCTATATCTCCTAAAATATAGACACAGCCAGCGACCACCTTGATAGGATTTATAATAGACAAAAATTTATTTAAAAATAATAAAGAAACTGCTTTAATTGAAGAAAAAAATTAGATGTAAAAATTTTAACTATTTATTGGATCCTTTGGGCTGGTGCTGTAAGACTAAATATTTAACATATTGTTCGGTTTTAATTAGGAACAGACAAAAATCTCTTTTGAAACTATTCAGTTGGTGTCTCTATTTGGTCATAATACACTGCCCTCCAAAAGTTAAGGAACAGCATGTTTTTCAAAGCTCACAGTTACAGAAATGTCAGTAACGTTTTAATTCACAGTTCATATGCATGATAGTAATGAATTTTAAGAAAATATATGCAAAACAATAGCTATCACTACTTTATAGAAATGAATACTTCTATAGGAGTTGGAGAAGAAATGTAAAAATTGTAATTTTTGTTCATGACTGTTGGTCTTCAGTTGTTATTACAGTTTCGTGGACAATATTTAGGAGAGTCTATCAATGTCCAGGAGAAGTCATTTGCCTGATTCATTGAGGTAGCGGACGATCAGACGGATAGAAATGGGGATGTCACAAGCTGATGCCATCCCAATGTCTCTCGTAATGTGGGCCACCGACTATGGAATCAGTTTGAATCCGAAGTTTCTGTCTCTAGAAGACGTGTTCCAGGCAGACCTCGAGTTACAACACCTGTGGGAGACCGTTATTTAGCTCGAAGGAGGAGTCTCTTCTATTCTGAACCTCCTTCACTGCAAACACTTCCCATAACATCCTCACTACTTCTTTGCAACTGTATATAATTAAAAGTCCCATGACATCGCTGCCTGTGATTCAGTGTGCATGCTTATGTAAGTTATGGCTACTTTTCTTCATTTAGTTCTCCGAAGTGATGATAAGTGAAGCCACAGATATTAAACCAGAAAATTACCGTAATTGTGAAGGGGAGGACTTTGTTTGTGTGGCCTTCTTAAAAAAAAATGTCAGCAATATAGATGACTTAAAGTGATGTAAAAGGACAGATAGAAATCAAATATGGTATTAGCAATTTTTTCTTTTTGATGATAGAAGCAAATAAAAATAATTCATAAAAAAACTGCTTATGTATTTATGTGAGAATTTACTATATTTCAATAATTCAACGTGTATTGAATGTTGTAAAAATTTGGCAAGAATTCAAATGAAAATAGTTCTCCCCCCCCCTTTTTTTTTTTTCTTTTTGTAGTTCATTTTGCTTAAAATTTGTCACACTTTAGTTTTTTTTTTAGTTAAAAATATGAAAAGGCAGTTATTAAAAAATGTATTTTGTGATTGTAGATATGTAATATCTTTAAGAAGAAAAATAAATTTCACCATTTCAACTTAAATTATTTTTGTATTTTATTAAAAAGGAAAGTTAATTTTTTCAACATTTCAACTTAACTGTTTTTAGATTTATATAAATTCTGCTTTATGTTCCAGTAAAAAAAAAAAGCAAATCTGCCAACATTACAGAAGCGGATGAAATATCAGTTGTATCTACAGCTGGTTTTAACTCAGGTAATAAATTATATGTATGATGTATGTATAAAAAGAAAAGTACAGTGAATGGACAAAAATATGGAAACACCTTGTGAAATGCATGTTTGAAAAGAAAGATTGATTTTAATGAAATATGTAGGTGGCGCTGGCATTTTTGACTACTGACGCCACCTATACAACTTCGTAAATGTGCTAAACAGTTCAGTTGTTGTCAGAGTACTGTTATGTGAGGTTGTCATTGCATTATGTCAGAGTTAACAGACTTCGAACGTGGGCAAATTGTTGGAGCACGTACAGTAGGTGCTTCCGTAAGCAAGGTAGCCGAGGTGTTTAGTGTTTCAAGAGGTACTGTATCGAAGATTTATTCCGCATATTTGAAAAGCGGAAAAACATCATCTGCTAAATCACAGCGCGGACGAAAGTGTGTCCTGAGTGATCGTGACAGACGATCATTAAGGGCAATTGTGACGAAAAATAAGAAGACCACAGCTGCAAAAGTTACTGCTGAAATGAATGTTGTGTTACCGAACCCTATGAGTACCAAAACAATTAGAAGGGAGCTTCATAAACAGGGAATTGCTGGCCGTGCTGCAATTGAGAAGCCTCTCATCAGTGATGCTAATGCCCGGTAACAGGAAAAGGTGGTGTTTAAATCATAAAGCCTGGACTATAGAGCAGTGGAAGCGAGTAATATGGTCTGACGAGTTTTCTTTCGCATTGTTTCCCATTTCTGGCCGAGTTTACGTCTGGAGAACGCCACCTCAAGCCTATAATACAGACTGCTTGTTGCCAAGAGTGAAACATGGCGGGGGTTCTGTTATGGTTTGGGCGGCCATATCGTGGTTCTCTGCTAACCCCATGATAACTGTGTCAGGGCACATGACTGCCAAGACTTATGTGAACATTTTGGCCGATCAAGTTCATCCCATGGTACAAACTTTGTTTCCCGATGGTGATGGTGTCTTCCAAGACGACAAAGCCCCTGTTCACACAGCTCACATTGTCCAGGACTGGTTTTCTGAGCACAAGGATGAGTGTCCCATCTCCCCTGGCCACCACAGTCACCAGACCTGAATATTATTGAACCTTTGTGGTCTACATTGGAACGGAAAGTGCGTTCTCGTTATCCGCCGCCGACATCGTTATCTGAACTTGCCACCGTTTTGCAGGAAGAATGGTATACTATTCCCTTGGCAAACATACAGGAACTGTATTTATCCATTCCGAGAAGACTGCAAGCTGTTTTGGATGCCAACGGGTTTCCTACACCATATTAAGCAAAGAAACATGTTTTTTTAAAAGTTTTTCCATATTTTTGTCCAACCCCTGTAATTCATTCCATCATATCAACTCAACTGTTTTTGTATTTAAATAAATTCTGTTTTATGTTACAGCACAAAAGAAAAACAAATCTGCCAGCATATCAAAAGGGCATGACACATCAGATTTATCTGTAGGAAGTATTAATTCAGGTAATAAATTGTTTCATGATATATTCCATACTTTGTAAGACTATGAATAAAACAAAAATATTATTTAGTTGAAGGTAAATGTTGATAATGACAAAAAAACCAAAGCACACAGTTGCATTCACATCCGATTTAAATATTTTATTATTCTTGTTAATGCACATATCTGATGCATCATTGATGAACTCATTCTAAGCATGCTCTTTCTTAGATGAAAGATATTGCAGTAAGAACAGAAGCCACGATCAAATAATAATTCTCATTACATTACTGCCTGTGATTCAGTGTGTGTGTGCTTATGTAAGTTATGTTACTTTTCTTCATTTAGTTCTCCGAAGTGTTGATACGTGAAGCCACAGATATTAAACCAGAAAATTGCCATATTTGTGAAGGGAAAACTTTGTTTGTGTGGCCTTCTTTTTTTTTAAAAAAAAAAAAAAAAGAGTCAGCTGTTATAATATTGATTACTTGAAGTGATGTAAAATGATAGATAGAAATCAAACATGGTATTAGCAATTTTTTCCCCTTTTTGATGATAGAAGCGAACAAAAATAATTCATAAAAAATAGAGCTCCTTATGTATTTAAGTGAGAACTTAACTATATTTCAATAATTAAATGTGTATTGAATTTTGTAATGTTTTGGCATGAATTCAAATGAAAATAGTTCTCCCCTCCCCCCCTTTTTTCCGTAGCTCATTTTGCTTAAAATTTGTCACACTTTACATATTTCTGTGTTGTTTTTTTTTTTTTTTTTTTTTTTTTTTTAATTTAAAAATATAAAAAGGCAGTTATTAAAAATTTTTATTGTGGTATTGTACATATACATATAGTATATATGTAATATCTTTAAGAAGGAAAAAAAATCATCATCATTTCAACTTAATTTATTTTTCTGTTTTATTAAAAAAGAGAATTTATTTTTTCAACATAACTGTTTTTGGATTTAAATAAATTCTGTTTTATGTTACAGTTAAAAAGAAAAGCAAATCTGCCAACATTACAGAAGTGGCTGAAACATCCGATTTATCTACAGTTGGTTTTAACTCAGGTAATAAATTATATGTGTGATGTATATATAAAAGGAAAAATAATTCATTTAATCATATCAACTCAACTGTTTTTGTATTTAAATAAATTCTGTTTTATATTACAGCACAAAGGACAAGAAAACCTGCCAGCATATCAAAAGGGCATGAAACCTCAGAGTTATCTGTAGCAAGAATTAATTTAGGTAATATTTTTTTTCGTGTTATATTCCATTCTTTGTAAGATTATGAATGAAACAAAAGTATTATTTGTGTGTTGATGTCATGGATGTTGATAATGGCAGTCAAGGCATGCAGTTGTATGCATGGCCGATTTAAATGCTTTATTATTCTTGTTGATGCATCATTGATTAAACTCATTCTAAGTGTGCTCTTTCTTGTATGAACGAGTAAGAACAGAAGCCAAGATCGAATATGATGTGCCCAAGATTCAGATTTGGTTCAGAGTGATAGCTTCAGTTAAGATTTGCCCCCATTGACTGACTAAGTTTTAGTTCCCAAATTTAAAATTTCTGAAGTTTTAAATATTATATTAGTGCATGTGTCATTAGCATTGTGCAAGAATATATGACACTGATAAATTTTCTAATGTTGCAATTTATGTTGATTTATTTTAACCTTGCAGCACGCGCGTATGCGCAAAATTTACAAGAAATTCAGTTTTTAATGCACATTTTTCTCATATTGAAACTGTCTGAAGATCATTTCCATTGCTCCTTTCTACTCTTCCCCACATCATGGAATGTGCCAATAGGAAGTCATTTGACTTTTTTTTAACTGGACTTTTGTTCTACGTGGTAGCTTTTTCACAAAATTTACGATACGTGCTTGGGCGTGTTTTAAAATTCGGAAAATATTTTTTTTCTCAAATATTTTGTAATTTTGTGTTATTAATTGTCATGTATTATTTTAATTTGAATACATTTGCCTGTGTAAATTTTATATCAGTTTTCAATCGCAAAAAAATATGTGCAACCAGTTGATTTTGCTCATATTCTTCAAGAATTATCTGCTGAAGAAATGGAAGACAAGGAAGCCTTTGGATGGGAGAACAATAGTGATTTCAATTCCTTATTTTCTTTTATTTCTATTTTTTAGAAATAAATAAAAACATTAAATTTAGTTTAAAGTGCATTTTTGTAACCAGTAAGAAGTAAATTTCCTTGCAGAAGTAATGCTACACTTACTTTTTTTCCTACCAAGGTGTTTTCCTTTTTTATTGTCTTTACTTGTTGTTGATGAATATTAAAATTAGCTTCGATTTTAAAATATAATTATTAAATAATAAATTTAAAATTTTCTGTGATGAAATACATCATTGCATTTCCATCTTACTAACATAAAAACTTAAAAATAATTTACTTATAGTTGAATGTGATAATGATTTATATTTTGCAATAATAAGATTAATATTTTATTTCTTAGCAAATTTATTATCAATATTCACTCATTTCTGTCGATTTTTCATGCCAAAATGATAAAATAACGGATGTCGTAAAAAATACTACGCGCGCGTGCTCATGTAAAATTGCCAAGCGCTCGTACTGGAAGGTTAAATTGTAATTCTTTTTAGGAAAAATAGCCAAATTAAAATTGAGAGTTAAGGGAATAGTATGAATTCAAGCTAGTATGTTTGTTTAAACCTTTTTTATCTTGCATTATATATATATATGTGTTGAAATTTATCTGAATATTAGCTGAAGAATGCACAATAGAACTTGAGACCTACTCATTTGGAAAATTTATATCTGTAAAAGAATATACTTTGTTCTGTACTTTATATATATATATATAATAAGGCTTATGAAAGTGTATAAAGGTCTCCTTAAGTTTCGCTGTATTTATATAATTGAAAATTATTGTTAATTTGTACTCATTATATATTATGTAGGAATGGTATAAATGTCCTCTACTATATTGGAAATGCTTCTCAGTAATACTCAGGTGGAATGTACTAATAAAATTTTTCAGTATATCTAAGTTCATTGAGCAGTATGATACCAATTCTTCTTAGGGTAATAATTCTGCATGAACATACTGTTTTATTTTCCATAAGTGTATTATAAATGGAAATTTTTTAATTTAATCTAGTAAGGAACAAAAAGGGAAATAAACATGCATAAGATGTACCATGTAATTTGGTAAAATAAGTTTTGTAGTTATTAAAAGTGTTCCTTCGTTCAAAAATATAACTACAAATATATATAGGGCATTTATTTTCAGAAATGTGAAAAACTTTTACATTTTCCTTTTTGAAATAGCATCCATTAGTATAAACAAACCTGCTTCGCTCTTGACATTCCTGGTTACCACTAAAAGTTGCTGAATATATCTTTTAGCTTTTAGTATATGCAGAGACTCCAATACTACAGTTACTCCAAATTTTCCATGAAAAATGCTTAAAACTACAAATTTAATGAAAGGGGACAAGGGAAATAGTATATAAAGCTGAACCAACTGCTTCTTCTGGTGATTGGCAAAATGCTCATGATATCATGTGCTAACTTAATGGCTAAGTTAATTCACGTGACTATTTGTAGGTCAGCAACTTACCATTCCAAACTTTTCAGTGAAGGTTTTTTATTTGGGGGAGGGGGTGTCACATGCATTTCTTATGAGTTGTGATTAACTTGGAAATTTTTCAAGCTTGTGATTTATATCACCTTAGAATAAGAAGCTAAAATTATCAAACCAAGCCTCATATTCTACAGAATTTCTGTGCTTTAAAGCATCTAAAGTTTCTGTAGAATTATGCACTAGCGAAAAATTTAACTATGTGACTTATGCAAGTTTCGCATAATTTACATAATTCAATTTACATAAATTAAATTATATAAATTATGCAAGACTTCTCAGTGCAGCATAGTTTAAAATTTGATTGTATTTAATAGTTTAAAATTTGACTGTGTGTAAATGTTTTTAAAGGCATTGCTGTAAAATCCAAAGAGATACCGAATTTTTTCATAAAAGGCAATAAAGCATATGATATAAAAGTCAAATGCTTTTTGATTTGATTTTCATTTGAACGCAACATTGCAATTTCAGTTTACGATCATTTTAAAGCTTTTAAATGCAATGTATCTGAATTCTGTCTTTAATCTCCCCCCCCCTAAAGAAAAAGAAAGAAAGAAAAGGCACTACATTCAAAGGCAACCTCAGAGAAAATATTTTCCATTATTTTAAAAAATAATAATAATAAAACCCCCAAATAATTGGCTTGTGTTTCAATGAAATTAGGTGCTTTTTCTGACAGGTAAATCTGTCAATAATTAAATTATTACTATTTTAGGTGGTGTATACTTACATAAATATTAAATATTAATAGATTTTGGAGACATTTTTGCTTGTTGCAGACACATATAGTAGGCGTTTATGAGCCATGTGCGAGTGGTTCAAATGTTTCCAAGACGAACAAGAAAGTATAAGAACTTATAATTGTCCCAATTGAGTTGTAACCAGCAAAACTGAGAAAAGCATCAAAGCTATTCATTCAGCTTTGTTGAAAAATCATCAAGTCATCCTCCATGAAAATATCTGAATAGCTGAACATCAGTTATAGTCCAATATAATCCATTCAATTTTTATCGCCCTGTTTTTTTTGTTTTGTTCATCATATTGGTATATATAGTTCATCATATTAGAATGAAACTGAATAAAATTAACTCATAAAAATTAGTTTTAATGAACAATAACATTTCAATTTTAGTTTTCTCTCATAACTTTTTATTCAACAATCACTCAATTTATACTGGAAATTTATGCACACTGATGCTGCTATAAAGCAGAATTTTTAAATCAGGTCAGCAGCAAGGGTGTTTGTTTAAGCAGGCAGTTGGACTTCATTTAGGTTGTTCTTGGAAGCAGCAATTGAATATAGGAACATTTTTCTCTGAAATACAAATTATGTTTTATTTATGTAGGGAACCAACCATACTAACTGTCTAGGATTTCAAAAAATGCTAGAGATGATGCTGCTTATAGCCAGCTGCCGTGTCTCATCATGATGATTGCTTAAAATCTGTTGATTTTTGGATATATTATAAGCATGAAGTAAAACTTTTCAATTAATGGATTATGTGAAGAAATGCTAAATGAAGATGATTGAAGTCTTCTATTTCAGTGACAATGTCCCAATTATCAGTAGTTTAACAGCCAAAAATATCTGTAGGAAACCTAAAAGGAAGGCAGTATTACCATTTTGACTTAAAGTCACATTTTAATTTCATGATGTGGTTCAACAAATACACTCTTTTTGCATCATGCCTCTTTTGTGTGTTTGTGTCTTTTGGGGGGGGGATTAAATTGGTGACACCTGGCGACAAGGAAATATACCCCACCTCAAAAAATGTTTTTTTTTGGGGGGGAGAGGTTACTAATTTTAAATTTTGACATTGCCATGTTTATGCACATATTGTTTTATATTTTTTAAGTAATTGAAAGTTTTTTCTGTTAATTATTTAAGGATTTTCTCTTACTATGTCATTTAATGCAGAATTGAATATGGGAAATGAAAACTGGAATGAAGAACATCCTACGGGTCTAGAGTATGATAATGAGGTGGTGAAAGAAACAAAATCTAAAGAGGGGTCCCTTATTCCATATGTTGTGCTTGAAAATTACAGAAAAAATCAAAGTATGTATATCAGTATAACTATCTCTATTGTGTTTCTGTGAAAACCCCATTGCCGTAGCATGTCCCAATAAGTTTGCAGTAAAATGATGATTATGACTGCAATAACTTTCCCCAATTATATTCAAGAAAAAGTGTGCTTTCTGACATATGTGTGTCACTTTAGTCATGAACTGACACAAGTTCTAAATATTTGATTTGCATTAATAATTTATCTGTTTGCTCCTTGGACTTTCAGAGAATTCTTATAACAAATGGGATAGATTTCAAAATTCATTTATTTAGGTATATTCTCAGTATTTTATATTTGTTCATACATATTAATGTTGTGCATCCATACACTAAAAAATAGTACAGGAAAGTAGTATGTGATAGATATTTTTGTGGGCTGTCAGGTCGTTTATAACTCTCTGAAAGACCACTCCATATACACCAGAAGAAATTAATAATGTATTGTAATAATCAGGTACAAACAGCGCAGTAATTAACCTTAAAGAGCTTAGGCAAAATGCAGGTGTAAAGCATCTCTTCTTAGTGTGCAAGAAATAGTGAAAATCACTTGTGAAGTCTTATGTTCTGCACATAGCGATCAGCAAAATTGACAGTTCCGTTATTAGAAACAATAGCACATAAAAAAAATAAATGTTATCACAAATACAAAACATATAATGTAGTAAAAGAATTTAAATGTCTACAGATATATACATACAGCAACATCTAATTAAAAATAAACTGTCTGGCACAGATGCTGAATATTCGACAGCAGTTAAATATTGTTGCACTGTACAGGTTGGTGGATTTAGAGTAATTGTGATATCACTTGATGAAGACTTAAAACACAATTTACACAGGACAGTGGTCTAAAAACTACAGTAAACATGCTGAAACAATTAGGAACACAGCCTTCAGGTTGTAACGCTAAAGCACTAAAATACAACTCCCAACTTGGTCTTTACTGCCAGGCTAATCTCTGAATTCAAGATACTACTACACTACACTCTCTGCATACATGCAGGGTATATATAGCTTTACGTTCAAGAATATTCTCGAGGGAACCTCTAAGAATGCATTCTAGAATGTTCTTGCTCCGTCTATGGCATACCCTACTTTTCTGGGAAGCTAGCTACCTTACCTCAGCTGGGCATTTCACAACAGTATTATAATTATATGACCAAATATACTTGCCAAATTAAATATTTGTAAAAAAAAAGTTATATGAATTGCATACAATGTACCAAAAATGTATCACTTATTAATTTCAGTATCATTTTAAGCAATTGTTTTCCCCTTTATCACGCAAGCAGTTAAAATGAAAAGTTTTTAATCAGCTCATATGTGTTTCCTATAAAAACCCAGAAGTTTCCATTGAGTTTTAATGACTTCAAATTTGTTGCGATAACAAAATTTAGATTTTATTCCATAATTAAAGTATGTTTAATTAATAGATATGCAGAGAATTTAAATGCTTTTATCTGAACCTCCTTTTTTAGGCCATTTACTTCTGTAGTATTTAAAAACATTCACCGACTCTTCATACAAAGGATGTGTTGTAAATTGTTTTATGCATTAATGTCAGCAATATTTTGCATAGAATTTGACTAAAAAAATTTCGCATCTTACAGCAAGATCATAGAGTACTAGCTTACAACTGAGCATGATACTTGCTGTTTGCCTGATCTGATATCTGTTATGTTCCTGTAATAAAGCTTTGTTTATATGCCTTAGAATGCACCTTGTTTTACACAATGAAGAATAATTTCTTTATTTATTTTTACCGTGAAGGAAACTAATAAAATATTGTCTTTAGCGTTAGCAACCCTGTACCCCCTTTTCCCCAAAAAAAAGTGTAAATGTCTAAACCAAACTGCCTAAAAAGCATCCCGTCTCAAATTCATTACTTTGTTTGCATGACGTTTTTTTGGATTTTTTGGTTTTTTTTGGTATGTGAAGAAAAAAAAATTTTTTTTTTTTGCTATAAAATTGACAGATAAAGACATAATTGAAATTTGAGATTAAGATGTTATATATATATAATTCAATGTAGAATTTTCATGCTTACTGGTAATAGAATGTACAGACAGAAGGCGGGAGTAAATAAACTGGGATTGAATTCATGATTGAGGCAAGTTAATTTTTTTTTAAAATTCAGTTGATGTGATGTAAAAGCTTTATTGATGAGTGTCAGCAATATTTTGCACATAATTTAATTAAAATAAATTTTCCATCTGTCAGTAGGGTAACTGAATATCTAACTTAAAGTCAAGATGCGTATTCAGTGTATGGCTTATCTGATATCCATCCTATTCATTAACTATAATTTTGTTTATATGTTTTTCAAAACCTCAGTCAAAAAAAGTGGATAATTGAATATGAGTTTAAGATGTAAGGTATATATTTCAGTTGTAGGAGCTTTAGTCTGCTTTGGAAAGAAACTGAAAATGAATGTATGATTGAGATTAGTAATTTAAAAAAAAAAATATTTTTAATTATAAAGTTTTTCAAAAATATGTTTGTGATTTGTAAGTTTTATTGGGAAATGAAATTTATTACAAAAGAAAAAGCAGATTTGTATGAAATGTGTGTAGTATATTAAAAGTTATCAAAGATCTTATAAAGCTCATTACCAATAGTACAGTTGTGTTCCTGTGACTACAAGTATTCCTGCAACTATACCAATAGTACAGTTGTGTTCCTGTGACTACAAGTATTGTAACAACAAATGTGATATAGGATGTTAATTTAATTATCATCATTATCAATAACTGGCATATTATGCAAGTAAGACTTTCCAACATGTTTAATGAAGTAATAATGTATTCAGTATATAATGTATTGCTATGCTAAATAATGTTAGGCTTGCTGTATTCAGGGGGTATACTATACTCTCTCACACCTATGAAATTATATAATTCTGATATTTTAGCTTATTCTGCTAAAAGAAAAAAAAGAAAGAAAAAGAAATTCACATCCTGCTATTTGCATCTCTTTTTAAAAAATAGTATAAATAACAATTTTTTATTTACAACAGGCTCGTAATTTTCAAACACTTGAAGAATTTTTTACTCATTCATATCACCACATTTTTAGTTTTTATTATTATAGGTTAGCTGAGGATGGGGATGATTCTCCCCCCCCCCAAAAAAAAAATTCAGATAAACTGTGATTTTTTTCTAATTTTGGTTCAATGTGAATTATTTAAAATTTTACCATGTCAACTAAAACTAACACAGGGCCATTTAATGGTTTTAGTAAGAATTGATATTTCCTTTGTTATCAATTATACATATATATATATATATATATATATATATATTTTTATTTTTTTTTTTTTTTTTTTTTTTTTGAAATGAGCTTTCAAAAATTAGGCCATAGAAGGTTAAGGTCATAGAATATTGGTGGTTTAATCTCAAACTGCCTGTATGATTGGTTTTTGTAGCTTCACCAGTGTCTAATGTGACTGTGCACCAGTTGCCGTTAGAAAGTCCTCCATGAAGCCATTCTTCCCTTTAGACAGATAGACTGCATGCTTTGCCAAGTTGCGTAAACGTAACTTAGTTGTTCACATTGACCAATTTATGTACCATTTTTTGAAATCTTTGTGGGAAACTCATAGAGATTACACTTAAATTCTATTTTAAAGGTTTTGAACTCTTTTAAAGAATAAAAGTATTTTGTGCGATCTAATGGTTTTAAGCAGTGATTCTCAACTGGTGGTACGCAAGAGAAAAATAGGTGGCACACAAAGAAACAAAGTATTTTTAACTGTTAAATTCAAAAATGAAATGCCCAAATGTCCTGTTAAAGCTTTTTCTCTAACACATAAATTTATTCAATCTGAGCTTTATTCAAGACCTATAGCCGCTCATAGACTTTAGCAAAATAGACATTGTTTATATTGGACATTTATTTATTTTATTTCAAATAGACATTTTTTTTTTTACTCCCTAGGCGATGTTTGGTTATGTCCTGGGGGGATGTCACACATGGTTCTTATGAGTTGTGATATCGTCGAGATAAGTAAGAGAGTTGACCTTTAATCCATTCTGGACCTTTAATCCATTCATCAATCCATGGAAAGTGGCTGGTGCCATCTTAATCCAGAAGGCATCCTTATGAATCTATAGACTCCTAACTGACATACAAAGGCAGTTTGTGTCTTTGTCTGGAAGGTACATCTTAACTTGGTGATACTCTGACTTTAAGTCTATGGTAGAGATGTATCTAGTTTGCTTTGCAGTATGAAGAAGTTCATCCATGCGAGGCACCGGGTATGGATCAGACTTAGTCACAGAATTCAGTTTCCTGTAGTCAATATATAATCGAAAGTCACCGTTCGGCTTGGGAACTAAAACAGTGGGTTCTACGTAGGGCAAATCGCACTCTTCGATTATGACAGATGCAAGAAGTACATGGATTTCTTTCTTGAAAATCCCCTTTCTTGCTGGAGATAAACTGTAAGGGGTTGTAGCCACTGGAGATGAATCACCAGTATCGATTCGGTGTTCGATGTAAGGAGAGAACATGGTTTCGTATTTTTCTAATAAAGCATTCAATCGTTTTCACTGCTCTCCAGTTAGATTTTCACCTTTGTCTGGACATAGTAGGCAATGATTTTTTGACATGTCACAGGATTGGACTTGAACTCTTTCAACAAATGGAAAACATTTATTTGGATTGTCACCAAAAAAACCACTTTTGCTCTTTAATATTTAAAACTACTCCAGCTTCCTTTAAGAAGTTTTCTCCCAGCAGTATTCGATTACCTTTAGCATCAGGAAAAGCTATCAGTGTCAAAGGGAAGGTTCGTCCTCCAAGGCCAAGTTTCACACAAGTTGCGTAAACGTCTTTCGTTGTTTGGCTGCCGTCAGTAAGACCAACAGTGCAAGAGGATTTCTCGAACTTTATTCCATCTTCTTTCAAGATATGTTACAGTTTTTTGCTAGCGATTGAACGACTTGCGCCACTATTCGCACAAGCTGTGCCATATATTCCATTGATGAAGATACTTATCACTACAGTTGTCTTAAAGTTGCTTAACTTTTGTATACAAATATTGTCAAAAAGAACTGAGGTTGAACTCGTGGAGTGTTGACAATCTGGGCATTTTGATTTAATAAATCCAACTTTGCCACAACCATAGCATGAGAGGATCAGTTTATCTACTACATTAGTATATGTCTTCTTCACTGGCGTGGATTTTGGGATAACATAAGCAGCTATAATTAGCTGCTTCAAGTCATCAAATTTTGTAATATTTAATTCTTTAAGCCATTTCAAAATAACTGGCAGTTCAAAGTAGAAATCACGCTGAGTACTTTCTGCTTTCTTCCGATGTAGAGCGAAGAGATGTCGGAATTTATCAGCGGTGAGCTTATATCTCTTTAGAACAATCTTCATCTTTTGGTAATTTCTTGATTCCTCTTCTGGCTCACGAGCAATCAATTTTCCAATTTCCAACCCAAGTTTCTTCTGGAACCTTTAAAAACTTCAGTTGTCTCTCAAAAAGATTTAGGAACAAGGCAATGTTATCCTTAGGATCATATTTAGGTAAAATTCTCTCAAGACCCAATTGGTTTTTTTCAACTTCACCAACAGGACCTGTGAAGTCTCAAGCATTCCAATTCATAAGTTCACTCTTCTACTTTTTCTTTGGCTAATTCTTGAGCAATACGTTCTAATACAGTTTGTTTCTGTTTCTCAAGTATTTCTTCTATTATATTAATTAATATATTTTTCACTAATTCTTCATCATAATTATTGGGTTTTCTTATGAGTTCTTTTAATTGCATCACTTTTAGATTGTCTGCCACGATTAACTCCAATTCAAGGGCAAGGAGTTTTAGATCCTCTTTTCTCCCCCTATCCAAAAGGGACATTTTGCCTTTACACACTGTCATAAAGTCTCGGTTAAAGTTCATACTATGATTGTTAAAACTTAAGATTCTAATTTTATACTTTTTTGAATTTTAAATGTATTTAAATTCGTCCTTCAGTCCTTAGATATCATTGATGTTGATAGTGTTAAGCATTTAGGGTCATACAAAAGAAATCAACTTTGCAATAACTGGAAATAAACAGTATTCGTTCACAATACTTACAATTCACACATTTGTCAAAATTTGGTATCAATTAAAATTCTAATACTACAAATAATCAAATATTATTCAATAGTTTTAAGTCAAGATTACTTATCTTAATTATACACATTGGGGTAGATGTTAGCAATGCACCTCTGGGGTAAGAAGATCCATTCCTTTCTTAAAAGACAACAAAATGACTATTCACAACATCTATATGAAGTATCTTGAAACAAAAGTAAATTTGACGCGTTCTGAAATTCTATACTGCTGCCGTGAGTTGGGTGCTAATTTCCTTGTATTAATCCTTAAAAAAAAATCAATCAGGAGTTAGTTTTAAATGTTTTATTACCACCTAACATTAACATACAGAAAAGGTGTGTTCAGCTGAGTATTTTCTCTATGTTATCGGTAGAGGGAATTTGCGATGATATTCATTTGTTACAAACTGAATTAAACTGTTATCTCATAAAAATAGTTTTAATGAAAGATAACATTTTAGTTTTACTTTTCTCTCGGAACTTTATATCCAACAATCACCGAATGGATACTGGAAATTTATGCACACTGATGCTGCTATAAAGCAGCATTTTTAAAATCAGGGCAGCACTAAGGCTGTCCTAGAATTCTCGAATTATTTTATAAAACCTGGTGTGTGGAGCATTGCAGGGTCATGAGAAGACCCTGTAGATATTTTTTTAAATGGCTATGGTGCTGATTTTTGAAGGACTCTATTTAAGTGGTTCTCACAAGCAGCAATTAAATAAAAGAACCTTTTTCTTTAAATTACAAATTTATGTAGGGTGTCAACCAGTCTAGGATGCCAAAAGTGAGTTGAGCCTGTTTATAGCCAGCTGTCATGTTTCATCCTGATGATAGTTTCAAATCTGTTGATTTTTGTATGTATTATAAGCATAAAGTAAAATGTTAAAACTTTTCAATTAATGGATTATGTGAAGAAATGCTAAATGAAGATGATGTAATTGAAGTCTTTTATTTCAGTGACAATGTCCCAATTATCAGTAGTTTAACAGCCATAAATATCTGTAGGAAACCGAAAAGGAAGGCAGTATTACCATTTTGACTTGGTCACATTTTAATTTCATGATGTGGTTCAACAAATACACTCTTTTTGCATCATGCCTCTTTTGTGTGTTTGTGTCTTTTTGGGGGGAGGATTAAATTGGTGACACCTGGCAACAAGGAAATATACCCCACCCCAAAAAATGTTTTTTTGGGGGGGAGAGGTTACTAATTTTAAATTTTACATTGCCATGTTTATGCACATATTGTTTTATATTTTTAAAGTAATTGAAAGTTTTTTCTGTTAATTATTTAAGGATTTTCTTTTACTATGTCATTTAATGCAGAATTGAATATGGGAAATGAAAACTGGAATGAAGAACATCCTATGGGTCTAGAGTATGATAATGAGGTGGTGAAAGAAACAAAATCTAAAGAGGGGTCCCTTATTCCATATGTTGTGCTTGAAAATTACAGAAAAAATCAAAGTATGTATATCAGTATAACTATCTCTATTGCGTTTCTATGAAAACCCCATTGCCGTAGCATGTCCCAATAGGTTTGCAGTAAAATGATGATTATTCATTGTGCGGGCGCAATGAATTGGCAGTTGATCTGTCAGCACTATCCTTATCTTCAGGGCAGATGTTTTTATTTTATTTGGCTTATAATTCCTTACTAAATGTAGTATTTCATCTCGATGTACTCCGTCTTTGATATGATTTAAATCAAATTCCTTGTCATTATAATTCGCTTCCGATAGTGAAGAAAGTGACACAGAGGTTATTGAAAACGAAAAAATTTCGATTGTCAGTATTCTCGACACAGCAATTATAGGACTTCAACAGCGGAACTTTGTAACTGAACAAGAAATTATGTCTGTTTATAGAATTAAAGAGAAAGTATTATCACATAAAATGAAGCAACTTAAACAACTTACATTGAAAGAAATGTTTAATAAAGTAAACAAATAAATATTAAGCTTTTTTTTTTTTTTTTTTTTTTTTTTTTTTTTTTTTTTTTTTTTTTTTTTTTTTGTAAATTTTGATACCTTTTAGATCATAATTGTTCTTTATTTCATAAATTACGGTTTCATATTTTTAATTTTATAATTTCTGCATGCCTGATGATTTAAACTGATGATCTATAATCCGGAATCGCCAAAGTCTCGACGAGTCCAGATTAACGACAATGATTCACATTTCATTCTTTATGATGCTTCTTCATCGCTTTAAATGATGTAGTTTGTGTAGCTTATGAATCTTTTACAAATGTTAAGGAAACAACTAAGTAATCTGTATGAAATACTGAAGAGAGGATCTGCAAGTTTTATTTTATTTACTTAGTCAATTTTGAAATTTAGCTTTTGTGGTCTTTTCTTGCCTAGTGAAAACGGAGCTGTTTTCAAATCCATAAAGTCGTAATGGAAGATGGTACTTATACATTAGCCTGTCACCGTGAGATTATCACTTGCCAGCGTAATTTAGTGCCAGTTATAGTTAAGCATGGCATAACGACACATTCATAGTATCTGTGCTTTCGTTTGATGTTACCCCAAGATTCCATCATTCCCTATAGCCACACTTTGTTTTTATAAACAAGGCTATAAATGAACTGTCGTTGCTGTATTTCTTTCTTACATTAATGTATCAATGGACACCATATGATCAGCTGCATATCGCTGACAAAATAATAAAAATTGGAATAATTATTTCCTGGAGGTTTGCATTGATAATATTCTAAATTATTTCCAGTAAAATCGGAGAAATGGATGAAAACCTTAAAAAGCAGGCTGAATAATAATTGTTTATTAAATGTGGAGAATTCTTTCTGATTGGCATATTTTTGATGGAATCTCCACAAACTTTCATGGTTTGAAGGTATCTCACTTTTGCCATTGGTGCTATAATATGTAAGTAGGTAGAAAATATGCTTTTTATTTCCAGCCAGTAGTGATGCTGCATCTGCATACATATAATTTTTTTCCATTATTACAAAAGTTATGTTGAATTAAAAAAATTGTTTCCTAAATATTTCAGTTATTATGTGGGAATTGTGATCAAATTAACCATCCCATGGCAGTTCTAGATACAGACACCTGTAAACTTGATCCTAAATGAACATTTATTTTGAAATTATGCATGCTACGTAAGTAACTTTAAGGAAAAACATGTCATTCCATCTTTGAAACTGTAATTCTTTTGGAGATAATTAAATTTTATAGTGGTGAGTTTGACGACTATCATGCTTCTAGTGTTAAATGGTCTAACTAAAATGGTTAAATGGTCATTATGCCTAGTAACGAAATTAATTAAATATGTTTTACTTTAGTGTTAAATTTAAGATTTGGATCATTATTTTAGCATCTTTTTTAATTGCAAATGTGTATTTGTAATATGACTATGGTTTCCCAAAAAATATTTTAATGGGAAAACATCGTTTTATTTTTAGACTAGAAAGCTATTAAAAGATGTTCTCAGTTAAAAGGCAAGTGCAGGTGGTTTCTTAATAAGATCTTATTTATTTCAGAATTGAATGTGGATAACAGTTCCTGCAAAGAAGATGTACTTGGTAATCAGTCACTGAAAAAATCGAGATTCAAAAAAGGACATGTTTTGTTTGCTGACCATGTTACTAAATCAAGTTCAAGGAAAAGTGTAATTTCTAACACTGGTGAAAATTTTAAATGTGTAAATGATGTTGCTAAAGTATCTGCTAATGCCTTGGCCAAATCTTGGAAATCTGAAGGATTTAAGAAACATCTTTGGCATGGTATAGTACCTGTTTGTTCTTTGAGTAGATCACCACAGACCTCTTCAAGATCGACACTAGGCTTTGCACCAGTTAGTGCAATGTCTCCTGTTCCTAGACTGCTCCGCCCTTTGTCTCCCCAAACTTGCTAAATTTTCCCAACTTGAAATCCTGCTGCCCAATGTGGCTGTACTGGTTTCTCTTGCACTGGCTCTGGATTTCCTACAGCAAATCTGACAAAAGTGTAGTACCCATTTAGTCTTTTAGGTTTCCACAGAATTGCTACATATTGCGTGTTATTTTACATATTACATTTATTTGTAACAAACCTGAAAAGTATGCTTAAAGAATTAAAAATTTTTTTTTTTTTTTTTTTTTTTTTTTTTGTGTGTGTGTGTGTGTGTGTGTGTGTGTGTGTGTGTGTGTGTGTTTTGAATCAGTCGCACAATTCTTAGAGTGAACCTGAAAAATGTGTATGTAGGTGAACTTTGCTTTTTATAAATAAAATTGTTTTTATATTTCAAAGTTTTGTTGTCCTGTTATTTACAATGCTTATCTCTGAGTTGTTTTTCGGTGCTACAGAAATTCCATGCATGTAATCATTCTTATTTATATTTTCCAGAGGCAAGCACATTTCCTGCATATGTATCAATTTTTCATTTTATTTTGCCTAGAATTTTTTTTTTTATCTGTTATTTTGTTCTGACTATGTAAAATAAATTCCTGTGAAAAAAAATGACCAGTTATGAAACATTTACAAAAATATGATTTCTTAAATTGTGTAAAGGTCTGCTCCTTATTTCCTTATGTGATGTTTAACTTGGTTTATAATTTTAATGAATATTTTATGTAAAGGAAATGTATCTCTTCTTATTGTTTTGAGGATATCCCAAAAATGATAAACGTACTAAAAATTAGGGGTCATAAACCTGTGGCCTGTCAAACATTTTCGATAAGTTAAAAATGAAATTGTTCATACGACTGTATCAAATCTTTGCTTTTCTTTAATTTTCCCTATAGAGAATTTTGCAAGATGTCAGTTATTTATCTCACCCGACTCAGTTTTTATTGAGGGTCAATATATTTGAAGCATTCCACCATGTTGACCTTCACTAAAACAAACACAAAAGAAACTACTTTGGGTTCCTTTCTCATACCTTTATGTGCATCTTGTTAAAAAATGTAGAGTGGTGAGGTTGAAAATGAAAGGAATTTTATTTTTCCTAATGTTACAATCAGTTCATTAAGGAACTGGTGTATGTAAACTTCGTGATTGGTTGGAGATAGCAGTTTTGGCTACTTAATTTATGCTAGGTTATTTCTACTGATTTCAGACCCTGTAATTCAAAAGCATTTCTGGTCTTTGAAGGAGGGCACAATGGCAAGGCATGATAACAAAAACGAAAAGCTGACAAAAATTATTTTTTTCCTTCCAGGAAAAGTTGGAACACCAAAGTAAGACAGTTTGCCTTATTTGCAACGAGAATATAACATCAAGAACCATTATGATACTAAGCACAATGTGAAATATTTTGCATTGGAAGGACATTTTTGAAGAAATGAAGTCAGTGAATCAAAATCAAAACTAAATTCTTAACAGTCTTTTTTCTTCAGGGTGAACAAAGAGTCTGAAAACAGTGTTCATGTTAGCTACTTCCTAGCAGAAAAATAGAACTTGGAAAACCTTTTGTCAAGTTTGTAAAGGAATGTCTTCAGTGTTCAACTGATATGGTTTGTCCATAACAGTTAATCGAACATTAGCTTGTCTGGTGTGACAGTAACGAGTTGTTTAGCGGATCTGGCAGCAGATATATTCAATAAGTTAAAATCCAAATGCAAGGACTTTGTGTTTTATATTGTAGAGATTGATGATTCAACAGATGCTGCACTAGCAGGCGCTTTTATTCAGGCCGTTGATAGAAACGTTATGATTGTAGAGGAATTAGCCAGTCTTGTTGCAGCATGGAGATACAATTAAAGGTAGATTAGAAGCACTTTTAGCTAGCCATCAGAAAAGCATCAGTTTCAATCCTGCTGAATCCCTTTGTATGGTTTTTGATGCAAATGCCAAAATGTTTGTGGTTAAGAAGAGAATTAGGTATTGATTGAAGTGCATAGAAAAGGAAAGTAATAATTGCATCTTTCCTACCCGAAATCTACCATTCTGGATACATATAAGATGAATTCAAAATTTTGTCTGAGAAAGCAAAATTAGTACTACCGTCTTTCACAAACATTCCTGTAAAGTAGAATTCTCTGTTTCTGCAGGTACCACACCAATATACAGAATCCACATCAATGCTGAACAAAGCATTCGCTGCAAATATAAATAGTTCAATCTAAAATCAGAAATCTGTTGACAAAAACACAATTACAGAAACTTATTAATTTTTATTTTTTTATATATTATGTCTTAATTTAAATGTAGACCTATGGTGCATTACAGTTGCGCAATAATAAAATTAAATTGTATTTATTTTCTATAATGCATTAAAAAATTTCAAACAAGTAGTAATAATCAAATTTGTATTTGAACTGAAGACTCAGGTGTTAAACACACTTAGTAACAGGCGCCTGGATGAAAACCGCATCCTGTATATCAGGGCTGTGGAGTCGGGTTGATTTTGGGGTAAAAGGAGTTGGAGTCGCTAAAAAACACTTCGACTCCGACTTCAGTTTTTGTTGAATAATTTCAATTTGAAACGATAGTAAAGTGAATTGGAAAAAAAATAATAATAATAATGACAAACTGAGATAATATTTTTATTTATAGACTATATACATTAATAAATAGTTATTTTCTATTTTATTGACATATTAGTAAATAAATATAAGGGAGCAGGATGGACATGATATTTGCCATTATTGATTAAACTGATTCATTTAGTTACTAATCTCATTGGTGAATTTAGGTAAGCAGCAAGAACTCCCAAAATTGATGCCATTCTTAGGAAGCGAGCAGGAAAAGGAGCAACGCAATGGATAAGTACATATTTTATTATATAATGGTTGTTAGGATTAAGAACTTTTTCAGAAGACGTAAATAACCCTAATATTTTACCAACAGAAAGACTGTGGAATGATCTTGCAGAATTAAAAACTCTTCTTTCTATACCGTATATAGCCACCAAAAAGCTACAATCTGAAGAATTAACAAGAGAGGCAATACTGGAAGAATGTAATGTTTGTTCTTTCTGAAATGGAGGGTTTATTGCAGAAGGAATCATTTCTTCACTGAAGGAAAGAGAAACTAATTTGCTAGACAATAAGATCGTGCTGGGTTCAATATATGTAGATCCAAAATGCCGAATTTTGTTGGATGAAAAACAAATTAAAAAGGCAAAGAAAGCCATCTATGAAGTTTCATTAAGAAGGAAATTATTCTCAGAACAACTGGAGCATTCAAATCAGGACAGTCAAACTGCAACTGAGTCTCTATCATCCTTTTCCACTGATGAATTAGATTTTGAGAAATATTTGGATAATATTGAAAAGGCTAAGGCAAAGCGAATGAAAATAAAGAACCAAGAGCCTTTAAATATGAAAATGAAAAAATACAAACAAGATTTATACATGGCATTTGAAGAAATAGATAAATACGATTGCTCTTGCAAGACACTTCTTTTAGAACTTATAAAAATCTATCCTGAAAAGTTAAAGAAGTGGCCGTAACAGTACTTCTTCCTACTCAAGTCAGTGTGGAAACACTCTTCTCAGTTCTGAAGTTTATCAAATTGGATCTGTGGTCCTCTAACAAAGAAGGTCTTGCCGAAGTTTTACTGTTTCTTAGAAATTATTAATGCCGTTTTTCCATTTCATAATAAATGCTAATTAACATAAAAAATTTGCTGTGCATCAATTTTTTTATTTAGCATCTATTACTTCTTTTATAATAAAAAAAATAAGCTGTACCCATGTATGTTTATATATATATGAAGGAGTCGGAGTCGGTCATTTTACCTACCGACTACACAGCTGTATATTACATGTACAAAAGCACATATCTCTTCTGGCATAACGTGAAAAGTAAAGTTTGTAATTGAGACTAAATCTCATGCATTGCATAGGAAGAGTCTTTGCATATACCTCACTCACTCCATCTAACTATATCCGGTGATAATATGGCAAATTAGCTACTGTATCTGTAAAGAGCAATTATAGGCATAACTTTGCAATACAGCAAATAGTGTCAGGACACTGAGAGCTTGAATGGATTTGAACTGAACTGCGTGTTATGAATTACTTGCAAGAACCAAATTTGTAATGATCTTGCTGATGCTCTTAGCAATAATGTAAAATATCTGTTGCTACACAAATTGTTTTCATTCTTTAAACTTTGGGAGAACCTTCATGTACGGCTAATTTTTGACAATATGTCATTGAAATTAAATTTAGATATCTTGGTAAATTAAATGTTTTTATCCAGAAAAGTCTATTAGTCTTGAAGCGGATCTTGGCATGATAAATGCCACAACATCACTTAATTCTAGAGGAAACGGATGCTCCAGAGCAATCTCACTGGTCATGATTGTTAGAGTTTACTTAAAATGCTTTTCAGAATATCATGTGATCGGAAATTTCGTATTTCTTGAAGTAACATAAGAAAATTTTTATTTTCCATTATACAGGAGAATAGAGGAGTATTTTCCCATATTTTCCATTATACGGGAGATAGTCAACAGGAGCGTGTACAAAAGCAGATTCATCAAAAACTGAGGATACGTACTCCGAAAATTTTTGTTCAGTCCCAGGCTCCACAAATGCTTTAATAAAGAAACAGTACATATTGAAGTTCTCAAACAAAAACATTTTTATTTGCAGCATATAATTTTACCAAGAAAGTCAAGAGAATTCTGCATTCTAATACATAACTCTAAAGATTTTAGAGCAAAAATAAACTTATATTAAGTACCGTATTTATGCGAATCTAATGCGCCATCGAATCTAATGCGCATCCCCATTTTAAAATTTTAAATAATAAAAAAATTGTTTGTCGGCGAATGTAATGCGCATCAATGGTATGAGGAATTTATTGAATCTTATTTTATACAACAATGGATTTGTATATAAACTATCAATCAATGGTATGATAATTTTATTTAAATTTAGATACCATATTTTATACAATAATGGATTTATACATAAAGTAACAGAACATAGAATTAACCTATTAGTGGGCTATTGTTATGTGAAACAATCATTGTTAATTACCACTACCGTATATACGGTACATATCGTAAAGTATGAACATGAAATAAATGGTAACATTTCTATCTAGCTAACAGTTTCTACAATCAGTGATTAATAGTAAACGTCTTTATTCACTATTTTGATGATAACTTTTTAGTCCCCTTCTCCGTAATGGTGTAGTTACGAGGCATATCAAACCAAATTGGCGTCTCGTCAGCGTTGCCAATTTGCCCCATTGAAAAATTCTTTTCCTTCCGAAGTGTGATGACATACCGCTAAAATGTTAGTAGTTTTCCCTCAAAATCTGCAGGAAGCTTTTGGCATATTGTTGTACG